GAACTGCCTCCTTCTTGTGTGCAATACAAAGAAGACATGAAAGAAAGAGAGATTGATTTAAAGCCAATGAGGACTCAGAATCCTCTGTCTCCTCAGTTGCTAAGCACACACTTCAGTGAGAAGCTCTAATAGGAAACTTGTTCTGGAAGAGATACACATTCAGAGCTGCAATGAAAAGCCCTGAGACTCTTTCCTAGAAAAGCTCTAAGCAGGATACACAAAACTCTAGCAACTCATTGAAGATGCTTGTATTTTACTGTGAGGGTTTTCTGTGTTTGAATTCCAAAGATCACTCCCTGGGCAAGCAACTTTGTGAGAGGAAAGGCAGAGTTAGCTTGGCCAGGGCATAAAAATTTGGAGAGAAGATTTGAGGGCTGTTGGTGAAATAGAGTAGGGGTGGGGAGAAAGAGAGAGGAAGAGAATGAAAAAAGAAGAGAAAATGTTGTGTCATACCCTGTGATGAAGGTCAAGTAGGGTGAATGGTGGGGAAAGCCACGAGATTTGGGGTTACAGTATTACTATGTGTTGGGTCCAGGCAGAATCTGCTAAGTCCAGCCATGTTATCAGCTCATTCCATAAGGAACTGGATGGGCACAGTAAAGAAAACACAGTTTATGCCAGAAAAAATTCCTTCTTCCAGCAAAACCATATGTTCACAATAGCAAACCAAGTGGAAGAGATAGGTACAACCAAGGATATTAAAGTGTCTGGGATCTCTGATTTGGATGTCTGAAATAAGTTTTAGGTATTTTTAGATAAGTGTCGATCTCTGGGATGAAAAAAATCCCCTGGCGAAGAAATTGGAACCCAGTATTCTTGCCTGGAAAATCCCATGGACAGAGGAGCGTAATGGTCTGCAGTCCAAGGGGTTGTGAGAGTCAGACATGACTCAGCGACTAAACAACATCAAAGTTTTAGATGAGTGGATGTTAAGAAAACACAAAAGCATTGCTGAAACTTTAACTGAATCCAGAATTATACCAAGAAAGGAAGTATGCCTGAAAAAAATTAATATAGTATATGTTTGTACTAGAAGAAATCACAGAAATATTTATTATTGTATCTTGTAAAACACAATAGTCAAAAGATATACTAAAGTCAGAGAACTTTGCATAACACAAACTCTGCAGTTTTTTTCCACCTTCAAGCCTCCATTAAAGAACTGAAGTGAGAAGAGAGGGGTGTTGAGTGAACCTCAAATTATTTGTTTCTTGCCTCTTCATACAAATGTTATAAACTTTATGCAGCAAATTTTCTTTAGATTTAGACAAATACTGTAAGTAGAAAAAGATTTATTCATTTGTTCAATAAAATTTCACTGACTGTGTGCCAGGCATTTAGCACAAGAACCACTTGTGGCTCCAGATTCATAGAAAGACAGCTCATTCAGAGCATCTCCAAACTGCCTACCTAGGCAGTTCAAACAGGCATTGCTGATACCAAGGCTAATAAGTCAGTGACTGCATTGTGATGTAATGCAGATCACTGATACCAGGACACAGATACCAAGGGGGCACCACTTGCATATCCTTCTTTCTCCTTACATTTCAAGTCAGGATGTCTTTATACTCTGGACAGTCTTCTCAACTAGTAGACACGATAGATGTGGTGGAGTAACTCCTCTTTCTCCCTGACAGGGCTGATCCTGAGCCCAGCCTCGTCTGTCTGTCCAGGAAAAGACCAGGGGTCTAGTCGCTCTAGTACCATCATGACAACAATCAGGACCAGCGGCCTCGGTTTTCATCTCCAAGACCCCCTCTGTCAGCAGTCTGCCCTCCCACCCATTCCTAAAAAGATGGACATGGAGCCATCCTTCCCTTGAGACCTCCCAAATTTGCTGCATTCGAGACTGGAGCCCCCTTCCATTGCCTCAAAACATTGAGGGCTGATGTTTTCATTTGCTTTCTCTGTCTGTCTTTCCTGGTAAGGGGAAGCTGGCAACAGGAGAAACAAGTGTCTTTGAGGTGACCACTTGAGTACATGGAGAAGTTTCATCCTTAAGAATTTTGTTCGTCTTACACAAACATTTGCTCTTAGGCCTTTGCTTATTAATGGGCAATAATTGCAACAGAATTTTTCAAAAGAAACCCTCATACACCATTATACACACAAACACATGCTTTTTCACTTTTTTTTTTTTTACTGTGGTGAAAGTCTTATGATGAAAATGTGCTCTTTTAAGCATATTTAACTGTACCGTTCAGGGACACTAAGTACATTCACATTGTTCTGCAACACTCACTGTCATCTATCTCTGGGATTTTTTTCACCTTCCTAAACTGAACCTCTATCCCCTTTAAACACTGACTTCCCATACCCCTCTTTCCCCACTCCCTGACTCCTGACATCTACCAGTGTCCTTTCTAACTCTGAATTTGAAATTCTAGGTACCTCATGTAAGTGGATTCAAACAGTGTTTTTTGCACCTACTGTATACTGGAATCCTGTTTTAAGATTAACAAATATATGTCCTACAAACAGATTGTACCTTCCTTTTATTTCCCCTTGTGCTTTACAGTAGGTTCTCATTAGTTATCTATTTTATACTAGTATCAATAGTATACATATATGTTAATCCCACTCTCCTGTTTCATCCCACCCCCACTTTACCCCTTGGTGTTCAGACATTTGTTCTCTATGTCTGTGTCTCTACCCCTGCCCTGCAAATAAGTTCATCTATACCATTTTTCTAGATTCCACACATATGCTTTAAAATATTATATTTTTCTCTTTCTGGTTTAAACACACTTTTGGGGGTCATTTACCAAAATTTAGCTACAGTTTGGTATGGCTCATTCAATTCAGTTCAGTAAATCAGTCAGGTCCAACTATTTGCAGCCCCATGGATTGCAGAACACCAGGCTTCCCTGTCCATCTCCAACTCCTGGAACTTGCTCAAACTCATGCCCATTAAGTCAGTGATGCGATCCAACCATCTCATCCTGTCATCTCCTTCTCCTCCTGCCTTCAATCTTTCCCAGCATCAGATGAGTCAGTCTTTTGCAGCAGGTGGCTAAAGTATTGAAGCTTCAGCTTCAGTATCAGTCCTTCCAAGGAATATTCAGGACTGATTTCCTTTAGAATTGACCAGTTTGATCACCTTGCAGTCCAAGGGGCTCTCAAGAGGCTTGCCAACACCACAATTCAAAAGCATCAATTCTTCAACCCTTAGCCTTCTTTATGGTCCAACACTCACATCCATACATGACTACTAGAAAAGATTTGACTACACGGACCTTTGTCGCCAAAGTAATGTCTTTGCGTTTTAATACACTGTCTAGGTTTGTCATAGCTTTCCTTCCGAGGAGCAAGCGTTTTTTAATTTTATGGCTTTAATTTCACTTTTATCAAGAGGCTCTTTAGTTCTTCTTTGCTTTCTGCCACAAGACCGGTATTATCTGCATATCTGAGGTTATTGATATTTCTCATGGCAATCTTGATTTCAGCTTGTGCTTCATCCAGCCTAGCATTTCACATGATGTACTCTGCATATGTTAAATAAGCAGGGTGACAATATAAAACCTTGACATACTCCTATCCCAATTTGGAACCAATCTGTTTTTCCATGTGCATTTCTAAGTATTGCTTCTTGACCTGCATACAGATTTCTCAGGAGGCAGGTAAGGTGGTCTGGTATTCCTATCTCTTGAAGAATTTTCCAGTTTTTTGTGATCCACACAGTCTAAAGCTTTGGCATAGTCAGTAAAGCAGATGTTTTTTCTGGAACTCTCTTATTTTTCTGTGATCCATTGTATGTTGACAATTTCGTCTCTGCTTCCTCTGCATTTTCTAAATCCAGCTTGGACATTTGGAAGTACTCAGTTCACGTACTGTTGAAACCTTGCCTGGCGAATTTTGAGCATTATTTTGCTAGAGTGTGAGATGAGTGCAATTGTGCAGTAGTTTGAGCATTCTTTGGCATCGCCTCTCTTTGGGATTGGAATGATAACTGACCTTTTCCAGTCCTGTGGCCACTGCTGAGTTTTCCACATTTGCAAATTTGCTGGCATACTGAGCGCAGCATCATCTCTTAGGGTTTGAAATAGCTCAACTGGAATTCCATTGTCTCCACTAACTTTGCGCGCAGTGATGCTTCCTAAGGCCCACTTGACTTCACGTTCCAGGAGGTCTGGCTCTAGGTGAGTGATCACACCATCATGGCTATCTGGGTCATTAATTTCTTTTTGCATAGCTCTTCTGTGTATTCTCGCCACTTCTTTGTAGTATCTTCCGCTTCTGTTAGGTCCATACCACTTCTGTCTTTTATGACAGAGAAAAGGTATGGCTGGCACAACTCGAAAGGCAGATTGACAAACTAAAGCTCAGATGACAGAAAGCTTTAGAGCCCACTGGCTGTGATCACTCCTACTTGCCTGGTTTGTGTCCTTACATTTGAGAATATTCAAAAGCTGATATTCTAGATATTATGGCACACTATGTGGCTTTAGGGGTTTTTTTTCAAATTCGATGAAATAATGCTATTGTTTGTTCTTTTTATTAACATCACTTCAAATCCTGTTAAGAAATATGTACAAAGGGTAAATAAATGTTTAATGTATGAAAGGATCCAGCTTTCTTAACTGTCGGGCATTTTAATTAAGAAAACATGGTTATGAAAGGGTCTTCACAGGTGGCTCAATGGTAAAGAATCCTGCCAATGCAGGAGATCTGGGTTTGCTTCCTGGGTTGGGAAAAACCCCTGGAGAAGGAAATGGAAACCCATTCATTCCTATACTCTTGCCTGGGTAATCCCATGGACCGAGGAGCCCAGTGGACTCCAGTCCATGGGGGTTGCAAAAGAGTCAGACACGACGGAGCATGCATGCACAGTTATGAAAAGTAAAGGGACATTAACAATACAATTAAAGGTGAAGTCACGATGCATTCATAGCTAAGAACCACGTGACAAATATTACTTTCTTCACATTTGTTAGAATTTAAGCAGAAAAGCATAAGATAGAGGATGCTCACAAATTATTCTTTTTTAAATTTCTGAACAGAAAGAAAGAGAACGAGGTTCTAACTTGGCCTTCATATTCCGACTGCCTTTTGCTGCTGGGAGGGTGTTCAGTATCAGCATGTTGGACACACTTCTCTATCAGGTACTCAGTGTTTCCTGTTGCTCTCTAAAGAGTTTATTTTCTGTTTTGTTTAGATTCTATCAAACGAATGATACAACTAGTGTTTCTCATGGAACTGTCAACTTAAATTGGCTCTGGAAGTAACCCAATGTTTTATTTCATGTATTTAATGAATGACCTAAATGTGCCTATGAAAGACATTGTAAGAAAAAAATAATTATTTTTCCAAATAATCTATGAGATGATATTAGGCATTCTTTGACACCAGTGTCCTACAGAGTTTCATGTGACGCTTTAATTCATCTACATATTCCTTTACTTATATAACAAGACTATAAATAAAAGTTAAGAAAAAATTACTAGGTTAAGAAAAAGACACCTTTCTTTCTAATACACATTAAAAAAAAAATAAGATACCAAATAATGTCAATAAACTGACAAAGCAAGGACATTTTCAACATCTGATAACTATTGCCTACTTTAGAAACATGTAAGGAAATTTTACAGCCTCTCAGAACCATTCAGTTTGTTTCTGAATGGCAGAGTTTTACATTGTCATTTCATCATTGCTAAGTTTTGATTTTATTTTATACAAATACACTATTTTTTTTAACTCTGCCAGAAGCTGAACAGCAGCAATATTTCATATTCTTTGGTTCAAGTATTCAGATAATTTATAAATATGTCCATTAAGGAAAAAATGATATTCATAGGGCTTTAAACAAAAAACAGCAACAAAAAAAACTAGTTGAAATATATCATTGTAAACTTTAGTCATTACAAACTTTTAGAAAATATTCTCTTTTATTCAGCTTATAGTTTTTTGTTATTAAAAATTTAGAATTGTTTTCCTCATGTCCAATAGCATGCATAAAATTTAAACATATCAGTATATCCTAGAAAATAATAGTTTCCATATTTTTTAAGGACAGCTTAACTGTACATGCGTATTTAGCACACTGACAAGATAGATTTTTATTTCTTTTATTAATGGAGGCTTAATGATTGGAGAAGGAAATGGCAACCCACCCCAGTATTCTTGCCTGGAGAATCCCAGGGACAGAGGAGTCTGGCAGGCTACAGTCCATGGGGTCGCGAGAGTCAGACACGACTTAGTGACTAAACGACCACTACCTAAAGTGGGCTTCCCTGCTGGCTCAGACTGCAAAGAATCTGCCTGCTAATGCAGGAGACCCAGGTTCAATTCTTGGGTCGGAAAGATCCCCTAGAGAAGGGAATGGCAATCCACTCCAGTATTCTTGCCTGGAGAATTTCATAGACAGAGGAGCCTGGTGGGCTATAGTCCATGGAGTCAGAAAGACTCAGACACAACTGAGTGACTAACACTTTCACTTTCAGTGATATGACAGTGCTTCCCTGGTGGCTCAGTGGTACAGAATCTGCCTGCTAGTGCTGAAAACGCAGGTTCAATCCCTGGGCCAGGAACATCCCCGGAGAAGGAAGTGGCAACCCACTCCAGTATTCTTGCCTGGGAAATCCCATGGGCAGAGAAGCCTGGCTGACTACAGTTCATCAGGTTGCAAAAGAGTCGGGCACAACTTTAGTCACTAAACAATAACAGCAATGACATGATAACCTTTAATGTAACCTTTAAGATGCAATAAGATATTCACACTCTAAGCTATTCTGTTTTTCATACACATGATAAATACATATTTTATTTCTGTTGCAGTCATTTGTGAAGGACTATATGATTTCTATTACCAGACTTCTGTTGGGATTGGATACTACACCAGGATCGGGGTTTCTTTGCTCTGTAAGTTACTACTGTCTGAAGTGGAATACTTCTGACAGGCATTTCTGAAATCCATCTATAAAGCTCTTTGGCTGACTCTTCTATATCATTTATTTAGTTAGTTTTCTAACATATGCTCAAAGAATAGCATCCTGGTTTTTTAAATTGATTAAAAAATGTTTAGGGAAAACATTATTTAAATTAATAATCTTGCAGATAGCCATTCAGAACAAAATTCACAAGTGTTTCCCCCTCCCCACCCCCCTCGGCTGGCATTTGAGATGAATAGTTTCTGACATAGGATGTCATACTGCCAAGGAAAACACTGATCATGTCATTTAACTTCTGTGTGTGTTTTTTTTTCTTTTTCTTTTTCTTTCTTTCTTATCTTTGGCCATGTCCCACAGATTGAAGGATCTTAGTTCCCTGACCGGGGCCCCCTGTAGGGAAAGCATGGAGTCCTAACCACTGGACCATCAGGGAATTCTTTAACCTGTTTTATAAATAAGTGTACTATGTCCAAGTATATTTAAGTGATTTATTAACAGTTCAAGTTCATGATTAGCAGAGAGGGAGCAGCACTTATGCCTCCTGTCCGGGAGTCCTATGCGCCTTCTATTGCACACCTTTCTCAGTAGGGATGCTATAGACCTTTGGATGGGCTATTCGTTTTTGTGCTGGAGTGTCCTTTGCACTTCAGGATTTGTATCATCAGCCAACCCTGTCCACTAAGTCTCAGTATCACCCTCTGGTTATCTCAACATTTAAACAAACCCTCACGTACAGGTTTCCAACAATTCCCAGTCAATTACCAGTGGTGTCGCCCACTGAGATGGAACTAATGCAATGCCATGCTGCCACAAATTGAGCCTTTAGTTTCTTAAGTTTGAGTTAACCTGAGAGATAAGGTTTAGATGGAATGCAGTAAATAACTTTAATTTAGAGGTAAGCACTTATTAAATGTTGCTTTGAGATTTTGAAATATCAGTGAAATCTACTTTTAAGGAATGGAAAATAACCATTAGGTTTTTTCTTTCTTAAAAATCTGGTATGTAAATAATCCAATTATATTACAGATGAAGATCACGGAGGATGACTTATGGATCAGGACTTATGCCAGACTTTATCAGAAGTTATGTTCTTCTACTGGAGACGTTCCCATTGGGATCTATAGGACAGAATCTCAAAAGCTTACTACATCTGAGGTTTGAAAATATCCACTTATTCCTGTCTTAATGTTTAATGTGATTGAAAACTGTGATTCCTAAACCTGGAAACTTATTTCTGAAATATTGGCCATTAAATTATGTCAGGAATTTCATAAAGTATTTTTGGTGAAAGCGATATTCTAGAGTTTGGACTCAATGCTTTCTGTAGGTTTTCAGGAAGTAAATTAATTCTAAGTAACCTTTTGACACATAAGAAAAGTTCTCAGTGCAACCAATCTAGTTTTTAATATAATCTTAAACTCCAGTATATTAGCATTTGGAAAGAAGGAAACAGAGATAAGTTAGGGAGCATGAAACTCACCTTTTCTCAAACTCTAGGTTGAGAACGACTTTGGAGCCAAGGAAAGAACCCCAGGAGCAGTGCCAGACACTGGCTCAATCATCATAATAGCAACTAGAGCCTATTAAAAATGGAACAGAATTTACAATGCCTGCATACGACAGAAAACATATCCATATTTTAATTGGGCACACTGTGTGGTTCTACATTATGGTTTATATTATTGAAATATTTATCTTCTTCAGATACTTCAATGTTATTCAAAATTTTGGTTAACCATTTCTTTCTTTGGTCTTATGTAAAACAGAACCTTAACTATGAGACTTAGATCAATTACATGCATTGTAATAGTCATGTAATCATTACATCAGCTTGTGATTAAAATCAATGAATCTGTGGTGGAAAAGAAGAACTTTATAGGAAGCATAAGGATAATGGACGTTGTTTGACGTTTAAGTAAGTGATATTGAGGCCAGAAGAAAATAGTTTCATTTTTCTAAGATGCTTTTTGCTGGTTTTCACTGCAGCTTCAGAGGTGCTAAAAGATGTTTTATTGCCATTTCTGCAGCTGAATCTGAGTTTTTCATTGGCTGTGGTCCCCGTAGTTCACACCACAAAGAGCAGGACCAAATTGGAAAAAATCAGGAATGACTGATGGGAGAAACATACCAGACAGTTAAATGTGTAAGACAGCTTGGCTGATATGCCTAAAAGTTTAAAAATATTGCATCCAAAGAATAGTATTTGATTAATGGTTAAAAGAAAAAAAGTGCTTTCACACCTAAGCAATTAACCACGTCTTACTCAAGCTTGATAAAGACAAAGATTTCCACATAGCAGGATACTATCCTGTTTTTATCTTGTAATATGGATTTTGTTAATTTGAAAATAGTTAATTCTTCCATTGGTCAAGTTCATATCCGTATTTGTCATTCTGTATTATTAAGTCTTTGTTGTATGCTGTTAACAGTGTAGATAGGGAAAAGATAATTGAATATTCATACTGTCATCAAGGAGCATTTAACATTACATCTCAGTCAGTTCTTCCCATCACAAATCAGAAGAATATTTATAAATTCCCAAATCTCCAACTTCTATCAAAAGCACACATCCTTGGAAAAAATAAAAGAATACTAGGTTAAATGAAGATAATATCTGCTGTCTTCTTATACTGAGTTCAGTTCATCTTTTGGAACACATAGTTTTGTTTAAATTTTATATACTACCTATTACAGAAAAAAAAAAGGAGGCAGTTTAAAGATTACAATAAACTTCAAGTACTTTTACAGTAACATATATTAGTAAGGGCAAGAAATTAATGTTACTTTACATCTAAAATGACATGACTGCTGTAATTGAAAAGGAATTCTACTTTTATTTTTCTGGCAAATAAAGCAAAAATAAACTGCTGAGTTGTATAATAATTGTAGTTTGATACACAAAAAGATGTCAGTTCATCTATAGAAAGATTTGTTTTTCCTGAACATTGTAAACAGAGTGAGTATATTATATGTTTCCTTATATGAGATTTAATATTTAGAGATATTTAAGAGAAAGAAAACATGATGAACATTATAGATGAAAACTATAGCTTTATAGTTTTGCAAGATGCTAAAGTACCAAAAAAGTGGTACTCAGTAAAATCTCATTTTATAAAATCAGGCTCAGTCGTGTCTGACTCTTTGCGACCCATGGACTGTAGCCCACCAGGCTCCTCTGTCCATGGGATTTTCCAGGCCACAATATTGGAGTGGGTAGCCATTCCTTTCTCCAGGGAATCTTCCCAACCCAGGGATTGAATCTGGGTCTCCTGTGTGGCAGGCAGATTATTTGGCATTTTCACCACCAGGGAAGCCTCCAGATTACATTAATAGAAATATTTTAGTAAGGCTTAAGATCAAATAGTTTTGAAACTTGAGCTGCTCATTCTCTCCCATTTTCTGCTCACTGTTATTCCATTGGGCCAAGTGTTAAGAATCTGGAGACAAACAGTTCCAACAAGCCTATATTCATATATTTTTAATGTGTTTTTTAATATTTGTAACAATAGTGACAATCCTAAATAGTGTGTTAGAATTGAATTATATTACAACAAAAATTATAATTGAAAATTTCACTTATGCCTTTTGAAGGATGAAGACCATGTTATTCCATAGAACTGAAGAACAAGATAACATGATTTTTATAACCTCTCAATGTTTAGGGCTTATATATTGACTGGGAAGATCAAATTTTAACCTTTATAACATATTTGAAAACTCAGAATATTTCTATACATTTGCTTGAATGTATACATAGGGGTGAAAAATAATCTTACTATAGTATCTAACATTTAAAAAACCAGTACAACTATTAATATCAATAATGATTTTTGAATATCAATAATGATGTCAATTTCTTCTCATGAATATAATCCTTTAATATACTCTTATCATTTTTTATTTTATTTTCTAATAACACATTAACTTTTCATCAAATCATAGAAAGATGACTTTAGAAAAAAACCTAACATCTTTCTGGCAAGTTTTTAAAATATTAGCTTATTATTTACCTAATCTTATTCAAAAGTGCTATGATAAATAATCAAACACATAATTAGATGATAAATGTTATGTGTTATCTGTCATATATTGTCCTGTTGCTGATTGTTTTGTGTATGTATTGTTTAGTCGCTGTTTAAGCTGAATTTTGTGTGTTTCTTTTCCCTCCCTTTGTGTCAGTGTCGAGAAATAGCATCACAAGTAAGTATTTTGTTTGTCTCCCTTTCTTCAAATGGTCTAATATAATGAGTCATTAGAAGAAAAGAATATTAAAGATTAAGCTCAACATTTCAGATTTTAAAAGAAAACAAGCTGAAATGATTTAATATGTTCTCTTGAAGTTAGTGTATCTGTATTTCCCTAATATGATTGCAAATTAATATTACCTGTTTGTCTTCAAGTTATGTATATGTATTAATACAATCGCATATTTTACTGTGTGGTGTCATTACCAGCTAGTCACTTACTGGATGTACATTATCTGTCCTCAAGGGATGTGGCACCTTCAGTGCAATCAGCTGGTACTGAGAAGGAATCGGGGTCTTGACATAAAACATACCTTTAGTTTGCTTCTTAAAGGAGCCTGGATTCGTTAGGAACAGTTACGGGAACAATAGGACCTGAGATGGATTCCTTCTTATACATTTATATTCCTGAAACCTTGATTTATCTTTATGTGATTTGCATTTTTTATTTTATTTTCCATTTTCTTCATGTAGATCATGTTAAATAATTGTCATAATGGCCTTAGGACTTAACACAAACTCCCAAACATTAATAGAATTAAAGAAACTATTACAAATATAAGTATTTTCAACTTTAAAAATTGCATTTTGAATGTCAAAACAGTGGTACAATTCAGCTTACTGTGGAATAATATCACAAGTGTAAAACTTTTGTGTCAAAATTACCAACCAAAAATATGAATCTATTTTTGAGCTCGTTGAAGTTCTATATTATCATAATTCCAGAAATTTTGACAGAATGACTGGTATTTTCTCTACAATTTGAAGCCATGTAATAAATGCAAATGTTTATTAAATTATTCTGAGCACTCTACATTATTTATTTAAGGTTTAAGAAGCTCTAGCTCTGTTACATTCTTAAATATTCTAATTTTGTTTTTTTATATATTGCTTCCTTTGGAATTTACAAAATATGTACTAAAGAAGCTTCTCTTTGGGCTATAACAATGTTTTGGCTTTCTGCCATTTTTCACATGATGGTACATAGACAATGGTAACATTTGTTTACATTGAAGTTGCTCACCAGTTCCAGCTACCATGGCTGCCTGCAGGTGATGCAAATTGAAATTCTAGTTTAATGCAGAATACAGCTCTGGCAAAGGCAAGGTTTGGGGAGCTTATCTTAGAGTTTTTACGGTTTATTTATTAGAATGTATTTTGTAATGCTTTAAAAAGTTACTAATGAGTTTAAGCTCTAAAATTTTTCATTTGTACCAGTATTTGACTTGGCCTTATTGACAAGTTTTCATTTTATTTCTAATGCATTGGCAGACATTATTTCAGGAAGTATTTTAGGAACATGTCACAAGCCAAATTGCTTCACTTTGCCTCTCCTAAACGCATTCTTGAGTATGAATCCAGACTTGATTCACAGTGGTAGAAACACTAATTAGTGATTACACCATGTTCCTACAAGGAGTTTGCCTTTGCCTAAAAATTGTATAGCTTCATGTTTGAAAGTGGAGTTAATTTTTTGAATGTAGATTTTTGGCTCTGTTGTAGTTTTCCATGTCAATTCTTATGTTCTGCACTTTTAATTCAGATGTCAAGCTTTATTATCTCCTCTTTTCTCTAATTTACCATTATAGATTCAGAGAGTCAAAGGTTTGGCTCATTTCTGAATTTTTGTAGCCAGTTGGAATTTGACTTGTAACTTTCTTCCTGTAATTGCCTTCTTTCTCATAGTTACTATTCTAGGTCTTAAAATCCTCCAGTTAATTTCCTATGTAAACTAAGCTTCTTCCCTCTAATTTGCTGAGTTTTTCACTATAAGTATCTCCTCAAAATCCTTTTATGAAGAAAAAGCTCTAACTGCACTTTAGATATTAAAATATATTTATCCTTGTAATCCCATTTTTTTTTCATCCAGAATTTCTGTTCTTTCCAATTTTTGTTTGTTTGTTTGTTTTT